CCCTCCACGGGGTGCAGAGGGGCGGAGAAGGCACGGAGCACCGTCCGACAGCCGAACAGGCAGGACGCCGCGACAGCGCGACCGAGGACAACCGTGTGACGACCGACGGTCCAAAACCACAACGAAGTGCGACAGGAGATGAGGGTTTCTCCCATGACGGGAGTAAACCGTAAAAAAAACGTAAAACAAACACTAAAAAAGAATAATAGCGGGTGAGCAGCGGCAGCCAGACGCGCCAGCGTTCACTCAACCCAGAAGTGACCCGGAAGTAGCCTACTTACATTGTAGTTTAGAACAACATACGACTGTGCAAGTGTAACTAAGCCATGTCTGCCATCTTGTGTTGAATGTTAACATTTTTAATTTAAAACAGTATCATGGAACCTCACTATTTGCGGGGGTAAAGGACCGGGCTGGCCCTTAAATAGCAAAAATCTGCATAAACCTGACGTCCATTGAAATGCACTTGATTCTTTTTTTTTTTTTTTTTTTTTTCAACTCAAAAAAATCTCCCAAAAACACTGATAATCCTCCAATCTACACCCCACCCCCCAAAAAAAAAGAATATTGAAACAATTACTGGGGGCGGGGGGGAATCCACAAATAAGTGAATCTGCAGGTGCCATGCTACGAGTCTGCAGGGCTCCACTGCAGTAGAGGAAACATGTTTATAATCCCGCCAACCCAACCGCACCCCCCCCCACACACACACACACTTTTTTTCTAATTAATCAAGGTGCCACTCAGAGTGTGTGTGCCGCCAGTTGCCCATCCCTGATCTAAATCATTCAATCTTATGCACATTAAGCACTTAAATAGTGACTCAAAAATTGTGTTGGACAGATCAGTAATGTATCTGATCATCACTTTGAGAAGACATTGGTTAAAACACACACACTGCCTGCGCACGTTTCTCAAAATCTACACATTGCAATGCCTGGAATGTTATTTATGCTCTAATTGCCACTCTTGCTGAATTCACAATTACTTAAAAACACATTAAAGGTCTTTTTAGACTAAAAACGTTGCAATGATTTAAAACGTAAATACTACACGAGTCAAGGGTTTTAAAGACAAACTGTAATATTGATTTAGTGTGGAGGAGGAAAGTGTAGTAAAACTTGAAGAATGCTCATACCAGAATAAGCAGACAGTAAGAGGAGAAGTCCTGATGAGCTGGAATAGTAGAGAACACCGAGAGGACCAGGCAGCTGAAGACCAAGGTGAACCTGGACAGAAAAAAAAAACAGAAAATACCCAGCATGAATACAGTATTGTAAACAAACAACATTTTATTTATTTTTCAGACTCTGAACACTGGCCAACAATCTGATGGGTTCTTTTCTTCAGCGAGTCATGAAGCTAACTATTATTCAATTTCCTCCTATATTAAATTATTGCTGTTTGTTTGCGCAACGTGCTTTTGCGAGGAACAAGCAGTGAAAGCGAGGCACTTTGAAGCGAGGCACTTTGCATCGTTTGCACCATTTGACAATCGAATAAATTAAAATTAATTAACCAACCATCTCTGTCTTGAGAATAGTCTGAGAAATTTAAATTCAGGTAAAATATTGTAAGTAGGGATGCCGTTGTTTGTATTTCATGAGACTAATCGACATGATTTAATGCAATGTTTTATTGGGTAATTTTCTTTTGGCATCTTCATGGTACCAATAATCCAACCTGGAAAGTTTCTGTGCTGCCGGCGGCTCAGGCCACTGTGACGAAATGGGATGGGAGTGAGACAATGTGTGTGCGTGTGTGTGTGTGTGTGTGTATGTGTGTGTGTGTGTGTGTGTGTG